AGTCTGGGTTTGTTTCTGTGTTTTCATCACGTTACTTGAGGAACTCGACAGCCGAAGACGTTCGGTGAATAAAAGCATGTTGTGTTTTCTTTGGATGTTGTGTCTGCAAAGTAACAAATGACTGGAAATGTGGGAATGAAGCAGAATAATCTCTAACACTGCAAGGCATCAGTGCTGATGATCACAGCCCTCTCTCCCTCTGTCAGTATAAACGCAGATGGAGGTGCGACACAGCGTCTTAAATCAGGAGGTGGAGAGCGCTGCGTGTCAACTGACACAACAAGATGCTAAAGCTGCTGTAAACAACACGTTCCTCAGTAAAGAGACGGTGTCGTTATCATTGAAGCTGTTCAGGTGTCAAGCAGAAAAACACACAGAAAAACCAACAGAAAACCAACAGAAAAACACACAGAAAAACAACAGAAAAACAAACAGGAAACCAACAGAAAACAAACAGAAAACCAACAGAAAACAAACAGAAAAACCAACAGAAAACAAACAGAAAAACAAACAGAAAACAAACAGAAAACCAACAGAAAACAAACAGAAAAACAAACAGAAAAACAAACAGAAAACAAACAGAAAAACAAACAGAAAACAAACAGAAAAACAAACAGAAAAACAAACAGAAAACAAACAGAAAACAAACAGAAAAACAAACAGAAAACAAACAGAAAACAAACAGAAAAACAAACAGAAAACAAACAAAAAACCAACAGAAAAACAAACAGAAAACAAACAGAAAATCAAACAGAAAACCAACAGAAAAACAAACAGAAAACAAACAGAAAAACAAACAGAAAACCAACAGAAAACAAACAGAAAACCAACAGAAAACCAACAGAAAAACAAACAGAAAACAAACAGAAAAACAAACAGAAAACAAACAGAAAAACAAACAGAAAACAAACAGAAAAACAAACAGAAAACAAATAAAAAACCAACAGAAAAACAAACAGAAAACAAACAGCGTACCTGGTTTCTTCGTGTGTTTGTACTCTTTCCTGTGAAGAGGGTTTTTCCTGTGAGGGAAACAAAGTCAGAGTCGAAGTCCAGTTTGTGTTTAATAATAAACATTAATACCAAGATCAGAGCGACACAGAGACACAGGTCAGACCGTCGCTGGCAGCTGGTTATCTAACTCTAACTCTATGCTAATCCTAGCTTAGCATAAAGACTGGAAACAGCAGCTAAAGATCATTAATTATCAACTTGTCTGTTTAATCTGAAAACACAACAGTCTGGTATAAAACTGCTGTAAAACAGCAGACACTTTTACTCTTTTGTTTACGTAGAGCTAGGCTACCTGTTTCCAGTCTTTATGCTAAGCTAAGATAAGCTAATCAACTGCTGCCTGTAGCTTCATATTTCAACCTTGTCTCCTAAAAATTCTGCTTCTGTAAAACTAAACTACAAAAGCAAGTATGTTTTGTAGAAAATGTGATTGTGACCAGAAACGTTCTCCATCAATGTAAATGTTAATTTATTAATTTGACGAGTCACAGATTCGTTGATACTGAACGTAACAGTCAAATCTTCACAGACAGAAGCTGATTTAGCTGCTCCACCTTTTCCACTAATGAGCAGCATCTCGTTATTTCAGTAACAGTTCTGTTCCGTCAGATTTCCCATCATACCTTTCACTCACTCCCTTTTATCTGGCGGTAATAATGACAGAGCTGCGACGTCTGACCTGTAGCAGTCGGTGCCGTAGGGGCACTCGGGTCGATCTGCCTCCTCTTCCTCCTCCTCCTCCTCCTCCTCATAGTCGGTGTCACCGGGGTGACTGCACTCCTGGAAATGGACCGGGTTCTTCCTGGAAGAACAAACATGGAGGTGTGAGAGGTTTTCAGTCTGATGGATCATTTCAGGCCGTTTCACCTCACGTCACAAGAGCAGAGCTGCATCCCGTCTGCTGTCCCCCAGAAGCTGGACACCCCCAGGACCCTGAGATTATCAATGAGCCAGAAGCTTTTTCAAGAGGAACGAGACACAACAAAGAGCGGGAACATCTACCAGAGGTCATGAAGGTCACAGCTGGACTTTGATTTTGCTCATGGTTCCCTTCCTGCCACTCAAACATATGTTCCTAAATGTTCTTTGACTGTTTACCTCAGTGATCATTTACAACTGTGTCATGTTTTTGAAATAATCCTTCATCTTAATGTGAGGATGAATCTCTGAGGATGAATCGCTCTCAGCTGCTTCTGGTTTTCATCCATCTCATCAGCTCGAGAGCTTCATCTAATCTTTGTTGGAAAATGAGTCACATCAAAGTGAAAGGCGTCTGGCAGGACTTCAAGTGAATCCTCAGTCCTCCTTTAACTTCCTCTTGTGTTCAGAGGTGAACCCACCTGTAGCAGTCCTTCCCGTACGGACACGCCGTCCTGAGGCTAGACGTGGACGCAGCGCCGCCGTTCGACCCGATGGACTCCGCCCGTTTAGTCGTCTGTTGACCATCCTTTGACTTCTCGTCCTCCTTCTCAGACTCGCGGCCAGATCTTCGTGTCGTGGTGGTTCTGTCAGCAGAGGAGGGCTCCCCACCGCCGCCGCCGCCGCCCTCCTCCTCCTCCTTCTCCTCCTCCTCCTCCATGGTGAAGTTGTCAGACTCGGCGCTCACCTCAGACCTGTTGGATCCACGCTGAAACGGGACTGCAGGTTCCTCTGAGGGGACGTCCTGAAAGTCGATAGAATCAACATTTTAATTATTTAATTATTATGTTATATATTTTCAATATTAATGAAACTGTTGAGTATATAATTAATTAATAAAAGAAAACACTGATCACTACGGAAGCTGAGAGAGGCCATAATATATCTTTAATCCCATTATCTCCAGATAACAGGACATTTTGTTTTGATTTTATTTTTCAGGTCAGGAAAGAACCAAATAATTTGGACCTAATTTCAGCACATTTCCAGTTATTTCGAAATGCTAAGCTAACACGACCAATTCAGCAATAATGGTTTAAATGGTGCAGTTTCTCTCATAGAAATTCACCTGAATCAATATTAATATTAATAATAATAATGATGATGATGGTGATGATGAACTCAACACAAACAACTGAAATGACTAACATAAAAATAATCTCTTTTTCCTGTTTTTATACAGACCTGTTTATTTGTATTCACTCAGTTTAGATGGAAAGGAGAACATAAACACAAACAAACGAAAACAAAAATAAACAAACAAACAAACAGTCAAAGTACAACTCTCCTCAATATCAACACCGACTCTACTTGTTAATAATTGTACTCAGCTGTTTTGGTTCCAGCTTCTTCGTCTTCTTCTTCATCACTTATTTTTCTCCTCCTCTTTCTCGGCCTCTTCTCCTCCTCACTAAGCTCCGCCCCCTCAGTCGCAGTGGGCGTGGCCTTTTTGGCTGCTGCTGGTTTAGTGCTGGTTGATGCTCCTGCAGGTGCTTTACTTCTCTTGACAGCCGACTGACCTGAAACACAGAGAACTTGTTCTCAGACAGTGACACTGGTTCAGCTGATGCTAATGTTTGTTGTTAAGAGAGGAGGTGAGTCTGCAAAGGATGCCATTCATTATCATGTTGTATTCACCACTGGTAGTCCAGGCTGATGAGAGCCAATCAGGAGAGGCCGTGGCTGTGACCTCATCATTTACAAAAGGTCTCAGTTTCTGTCCAGACTACAACACAACTCTAGAGTTTTCAAAATAAAACGCAAGCCCGGAGTTTTCAAAATAAAACACAACCGCAGAGTTCTCAAAATAAAACACAACCCCGGCCTTTTCAAAATAAAACACAACCCCAGACTTTTCAAAAAAAACAAAAAAACAAACACAACCCCGGAGTTATCAAAATAAAACACAACCCCAGAGTTTTCAAAATAAAATAAAACTGCACAGTTTTCAAAATAAAATACAACGTGAGTTTTCGAAATAAAACACAACCCCAGAGTCTTCAAAAATGTTTGCGTTGCTTAGCAACCGTCCAGTATCAGTCCAGTTGTGTATAACTGTTCTGTAACTCTGCTTCTCTTTAGAAAACTGGAACTTTTCCATCCGTCCACTTCAGCTCAGAGCTAATGGACGGGTTGAAGAGGCAGTGATAAGTCACGGAGGCGTCATCCAGCAAAGTAGAACTCGCTGCTTCCTCCAGAGTAAACATCAGAGGGACAGACACTCAGAGGAAGCAGTAGCTGTTCAATACCGTCTCATACACAGACCTCCGTCATCTAATGTTAATTATCAGAGAACATCCTGGTATTCCTGCGGCGACACACCTCTGTGTTAACACCAGTTCATCAGATATCACAGCGGTCGACCTGTTCACCTTTTCCATGACTGAGCGACACCCTGAGACCGAGGTCAACGAGCGTCTGAAGTGAGAGGCGTTCAGGCGGCGTCCCGGCCCCCAGCAGCCCTGGATAACATCACCTGAAAACAGACTTCACTCCTTGGTCCTGGTTCCTCCAACAGACACTTTCTGACTGCAGCTGGAAGTGAACCAAGTGTTTTAAAGGAAGTCCTGTAGGAGCACCTGGTTTACAGTTCATTGCCTCACAGTCTATTCAGGATAAATACAAGTGTAAAAGGTGTAAAAGTCAATCCAGCCCCTGCAGCAAACAGACATTAAAATGAGCCTTTCTGCAAATGTTACTGCACTTTAACTTTTTAATTTATCAACTTAAAAAAATAATTGTGACATGTACAAACATTTGGACTCTTCAAACCTTGTGCTAACACTCAACAACCAGGAGCTGCTCTAAACAACTGACTGAGGGTCTGACCATGAAGCTAACTGATGCTACAAAGCAGCAGGGGGAGGTGGGATGGGGGGGTGGGTCTATAAAAAGATATCAAAGTGCTTCCAGCTTGATTTTCCACTGTGTGAAATGTCAGTAAGAAATGACAGATGACAGTGAAGAGGAAGTGTGGAAGTGAAGACAAGATCTGGACAGAAAGAGAAAGCCTGGCATGGCCTGTTGTGCCACCAAAAACACAACTGCTCAGGATTCTTATCAATAAAGTTTTGCTCTGTTGTCATGTGACAGGAAGAGGAAGGTGTTACCTCTCGGGCTGGAGGAAGCTCGGTGTGGACCTGATGCCGCCGCCATCATCCACGCAGGTAAAACTCTTCTCTTCACAGACGGAGCGACGTCACTGTGATCATCCTCCACCTCCTCTGGAGGAGCCGAGTCTCCCTGTGTCAAACAACAGAGAGAACAGCGTTACGATTGGCTGCCTGCAGGTTTGTTCCAGCCTGTGATTGGTTGCTCAGCTCAACGATGCATAGAGCCCGCTCGCTTAAATTTCCTGAAGTCACACATTTGTTTGAATGCACTGCCGCCCATGTTCACTGATTCAACTACATCCATTGATGAAATATTATTCATACATAATCAATCAGCAACTATTTTGATCATTGAATTGTTTATAATCATTAATATATTTCAGTTTTTTACTGTTGGTCACTCAAGACCTGAAACTAATGCTAATGTTAGCTATGTAGCAATAGCATAAAACTTACAAATAGCTCCTTTAAACTTGACTTTATCTCAAAAGGCAGACGAAAGGGAGGAAAGACAGTTAAAGAAATCAAAAAGGCTTATATTACTCAAATGTCGCAGCCTCTGTGTTGATTAAAAATGACATAAGAACATGAACTTGATGTCAGAGTGAATGATTATCAGTCTGATAATCAGACTAACATTTTGTTCCTTTCTGTCCATGTTCAGTTGAATTATCCATAAATGATTAAATGTTCTTGTCTCGATGTTATTTAAGTGCTGATGATTCTCTGCTGATGAAGTTACTTGAGTCAAACCTTATTGAAACTTCTGTTGCGTTTGTCATTGACATCCTCATCTGACAGAGCTGCTAACATCGGCCCCTGGTGAGGTGGAGTCTGTCCACAGTCAGTTATTACTGGATGAGCCGGTTCCACATGAGGCTCGGGAGAACCAGGAAGTTCCTCCTCTTCTTCTTCTTCAAGACTCTGACTGTTTCTATAGGAAGTGATATTTGACAAAGACACTTTAAAATGATAATTCAACAGTTAAAGTCTCTGTTGTGTGAAATGTGTCAGAAACTGAAACTTGTGAGTTCTTGATGCTGCTGCTCAGATACAAGCTGGAATCCCAGTATGAATTTTACATGAGCCTCGGCCGGTTTGAACAGTGGTAACATTTGCTTGAGTGTCCTCTCCCAGCGTTTTGATCTACACTTCAAACGGAGAGCTAGCATCAGGACAATGGAGGGGATGGTAACTCAGAGATAAAAGATTTCCAGACATAAATCAACATTCTGCCTAATGTTGGCTTTAAACTGAGTCAACAAAAACACTCCAACTGGCCCCATTCGCCCCCACACCGTCCTGTTTGCAAGATAAAAGATGAGACTTCATTAGAGAGTGGAGAGCAGCCTCATCCGTCCTCATTTAATTATTCACAGACCCACAGGTAAAATGATTCATCTTTTGATCTTGACGTGAGGTATTGACATGGAAAAGAACATTTTCTGACATGTAAGTACCTGGGAGTGCGCTCTGCTCCGCCCACGGCCACCACCTTGTAGACGAACTGCCCCGGTAGCAGAGAGAAAAAGTCTCCGTGACGGAGAGGGTACCAGGAGTCTTTCTTCAGAGGTCGAGGGTTTACGTCGGCAGGAGACGACTGAGTGAAGCACGGGTTCATGTGGGTCTGAAGATCGAAACAACAAGAGGATAAACCTTCAGACGGGTTGTCGTACGGATGTGTGAGGGGTCGCGTCTTTTTAGTATCAATAGCACAAAAGATTTACACTGACGAGCCAAAACATTATCAGCACTCACAATAATGTTGACAGAGGGAGTCAGACACAAAGACCTGCCTCTGATAGAAGTCTGTGCCGTAGATAAAGACTGAACTACTGTGGGTCCAGACGGAGGCTGAGCTCTGACTGACAGGCTGAATAACAAAGATAGTCTTTCTGCTGGTTCCCCCTCTGGTTCACCTGCTGGTTCACCTGCTGGTTCACCTGCTGGTTCACCTGCTGGAGCACCTGCTGGTTCACCTGCTGGTTCACGTGCTGGTTCACCTGCTGGTTCACCTGCTGGTTCACCTGCTGGAGCACCTGCTGGTTCACCTGCTGGTTCACGTGCTGGTTCACCTGCTGGTTCACCTGCTGGTTCACCTGCTGGAGCACCTGCTGGAGCACCTGCTGGTTCACCTGCTGGTTCACCTGCTGGTTCACCCTCTGGTTCACCTGCTGGTTCACCCTCTGGTTCACCCGCTGGTTCACCTGCTGGTTCACCTGCTGGTTCACCCTCTGGTTCACCTGCTGGTTCACCTGCTGGAGCACCTGCTGGAGCACCTGCTGGAGCACCTGCTGGTTCACCTGCTGGAGCACCTGCTGGTTCACCTGCTGGTTCACCTGCTGGTTCACGTGCTGGTTCACCCGCTGGAGCACCTGCTGGTTCACCTGCTGGTTCACCCTCTGGTTCACCCGCTGGTTCACCCGCTGGTTCACCTGCTGGAGCACCTGCTGGTTCACCTGCTGGAGCACCTGCTGGAGCACGTGACAGTTGGGCTTAGTAGTTGCCCTGGCGGCCCCGGTTCGAGTCCGGCCTGTGACCCTTTGCTGCATGTCATCCTCTCTCTCTCTCTCTCTCTGTCTCTCTCTGTCTCTCTCTCTCTCTCTCTGTCTCTCTCTCTCTCTGTCTCTCTCTCTCTCTCTGTCTCTCTCTCTCTGTCTCTCTCTCTGTCTCTGTCTCTCTCTCTCTCTCTGTCTCTCTCTCTCTCTCTGTCTCTCTCTCTCTGTCTCTGTCTCTCTCTCTCGATATTGTGTCTCTAACTTTCGCAGTTAAAAAGAAATCAGGACTTGACGTGCAGCGGTTCAGACATTTACTGGGTTTGGACCTAGTCTTGTTTTTTTCTATTCATATCGTAGCGCTGTGATCCACCATCTTTCATCGCTCACTCTGGACACCTCCTACAGTCTGACACAGTTTATTAGGGACACCTGAACCTGCAGGATCACTGATCCCTGTAGTTAGTCCACTTCTGAAATATTTCTCGCTGCAGCTCCAAACTTCTGTTAAAAGGTCAGAGCGACTGACCTGATTAGTCTCCAGCTCAGAACCAATCATTCGTTATCTGCAGAAAATTTCCTTTTCCACTCGCAGCCCTGCAGCCAAATGAGCAGCCGGCATACAGATGGAAAAAAGAAAAACTCGCCCGTGTTCTGATTTCCTCTGTTTATGATGCAGGAATGATGGTTAACGGACGCCGCCGCAGCGCCTCGGGCTGCTGAGTGAAGAATATCTGTAGCTGTGGGTTTTACAGTGTGAGATCAAGAGACTGTATAATTGAAGCAATTGATTCCACCTCACGATTAAAAATGAATGACGCACTGTGAAGTGTTAATTATTTTTCTGAGGTGACGGTTTGAGACGCGAGGCAAGGCAATTACACACAAATGAGTATTAACTGAGGTGTGTGTGACTTCAACACTGTTACTCCTTCCTAACATTGATCTGACCTCTGCTGGTCTCCCCCACCCCCGACATTCCCCTCAGGACTAATAAAGATCTGAGCATTTAATGCATTAGCTGAGAAAGTGACTGATTCTGACAAACAGGATAAATGAACTTCCTGCCGTTCAGGGATCAGTGAGACGACCACTCCTTCTGAGACTCTCGTGATCTTTTTTCATCTGGACACAAAAACAAATGTTTGGAAATTAAATATAAATTCTTTAAAGGTCCCATGTATCAGAGGTTTGAAGTCTGAGACTGTGGGCCTCCCCTCAGACGAATGATCTCAATGATCTTTGGAAACGATGACGCAGAAACTACAGATGCTCCGATCACTTTTTTTGCTGCCGATACCGATACTGATCATCTAGGAGCGAGATCATCATCTTGTCATCATTGCAGATGCCGTATGTTTTTATAAGTCTCACACACTTTGCGAAAATCCCATGCGGCCGACATGTTGTTTTGTTTTGGCGGCCTTTGGCAACAGAGCTTCTCTCAGAGTATTAACCTCAGCTGATCGTTTGAAGGTGATCAATGACTAGAAGCATTAATTCACTCAATTCTAATGAAAGTCGGCCGATCACGACCAACTCGTGGTCATATCCCTCCGCCACTCAGACTAGTTCCAGGTCACATCCCTGTTTATCCAGTCATAAATTATGAACCATGTGTGTGAAACTTGTAATGGCTAAAACGTGTTTTGTGAGGTCACACTGACCTTTGACCTTTGACCACCAAAATTTAATCAGTTCATCCTTGAGTCCAGGTGAATGTTTGTGCCAAATGTGAAGGAGTTCCGTCGAGGTGTTTCTGAGATATCGTGTTCATGAGAAAGAGACGGAGCGTATGTTTCCGTCTTCGTAAAGACTAAAGACAAACTTACCGGTTTCAGACGCAGCTGTCCGTTCAGGTTCTCCAGCAGCCCGTGGTGTCTGGACACTCTCTTGTCATTGACCTGAGACCAGGTGAAGACCAACGAGACCGGACACAAGACGGGTTTGTTTTGGGATGAAAAAAAAGAGAAATAGATCACACTCTTGACGGATACTGATTACACATAATCAGTTACTGGATTCACATCAAATTTGCTGCGGATATTCTCGGTCCGCAGAGAGAGAATGCTGATGGTTCTGCCAGCGTTTCCTCTGGAGCTGCCATCAGGACCGAAACTCCACAGGACCGGCCATTTGCTCCGTCACAGGATAAAGTATTTACAGAAATGAACACCTGGATTTCCCCTGGGGAGGCTCACTGACTTTGGTGAGAAATGAGCTGCAGACAACAGTGTTAGTTCTATAAACTCATGATTTACCTTGGTTTTTATTCTATTTTTATCTTATTAATTATTACTCAAAATAAACAGATAAATTGTAAAAAATACAGTTAAAATGGACGTAATGAGCCCTGTACATGTTGTACTTTAGACTTACCAGGCTCATGACTTGAGATGCTACTAACAGTGCAGATCATCCAATATGACACAACCTGTTCCTCCATGTCACCAGTGTGACAGCGCCCTCCAGTGGCTCAGTAACAGACCTGCAGCTCACATCCAACACTCACATCCTGCTCACTTTTATTTTGTAGGAGCTCATCTTTTCTGGTTGTGGATTTGGGACTTAGAATAACAACATAGTAAATCTATCATATTTATATTGATAATCTACTTTTAAAAAATTAATAATTTGTTTAAGGAAAAGAGGAATGCTGTCCCACAATTCCTTGCTGCAGTAACATTTAAAGCTATGCACCAATTCACCTCAGCAGAGCCACGTACATGTAGAAACATCAGAGCAGCTGTTTCATGTTTGTGACTCCATCCAGAACTGATGCAAAGCTTTTCTCATCAGCTCAGATTTATTCTCTTTAACTCCAGTCAGCAGTCATCATGAAGAACAAGCAGATTTAATTTATTGTTAAGAATATCATCATCATGACAAAATATTATAGCCTATACATAAATGTGGAACGCAATGAATGAATGAATAATGACTAAAAATGAATTTTCTCTACAGAAATGTCAAAGCGCTTATGTCACCGAAATATAAACTCATGTCTGAATATAATTTATTCTGATCTCTTGCTCAGTTACTTATTATTTAATTATAATTTCAACTTTCTCTATTAGTATTTTTCTTTCATTTTTCTTATTTCAACATTCAATCTTGTTTGTTATGTGTTAGTAGTTAAAGGAGGATTTTTAAGTGTTATAAATAAAGTTAGTTTGAAGGTGAAAACAATACAATACAGAGTAGAGTAACCACTAAATAATACAGAGTAATGCTGGAATCAAACTAAACTAAACTAATAAACTAAACCAAACTACAGCCTGAGGAGGACTCACTCCCAGGAGGGGCCCCCTGCCGAGCACCGTCTCTCCCGACGGCAGGTGAACGGGAGCCCCGCCGTCCACCGGGACGAGGTCGAAGCCGGACATGTGCTGCTCAGGGCGCAGGACGGGAGGCAGCTTCACCCCGGTTCACTGGTAGAAAACACAACAACGAGGCTGCGTCATTCAGATGTGGATGCTGGAGATAATTAAGCGGGAGAATGAAATGAAGTCTGCTCTGAGGTCACGAGCAGTGAACCCTTACCTCTGCCCACCTGTCGTGGCGGGAAGCCGGACAATAGTTTCACCCCCCTGAGATTAAAATTCAAAGCGACAAAACAGACACAACAACTTTCACAATCAGAAACACAATTCAAAACTTCCGGGTTGCTGGGGAGCATGCGCAGTAGAGTACACACGGGTGGCGCTGGTCAGAAGATTTCCGGCAGAATTCCTCATTTTTACATATTCTTGTTCATTAACGTAATGTTTGTGTTTATGAAATAAACGTCAAGACGCTTTATTGATAAATCGATAACAATATTTAATTCGGCATATATGTCTGAACTGTGCATTACTTTAGTTTATCAAAAATCAAACTTATTGATTTGGTTGATCTCGTTTCAGTCCCTCTGTTGTCATATTATGGATTTCAATAGCTAGATATAAAGAAAGAAATAGAGACAGAATAAAACCTCAAATGCAGATTTTGCATGAACGTTATTTGGCCACGATTTTGAGTCACTCCATTTAAAAACAAGCAGTACTTAAAACAGACTGCAAATAAACGGTATTTTCAGTTAGCCATACGCCGAATTGAAGAAGCGCTGCAAGTGATACAGAAAATATGAAAACTTCTATATTTCTGTGGATAAATGTTTTTCTTTACAAGAATGCGGTTTTAAATTAGCGGATTATTGAGCATCGCCTCAATGAAGAACGGGAGAAAATGGACGTTGCTACAGGTTACGGTGCATAAACGTAAACATCGTACGGATCCCTCAGATGGTGTACAGAAAACAGTTCAGTGACTTCATTCTGAGAAAATATAAATTCAAATGTTGTTGTTTTTTAATTAAAGGGAGTGCGACGCTTGTACGCATGCGCGCTTCACCAAAAACACGGTGACGTGTGTAAACAGCCGTTGAGGCATTTAAACCTTCAGCTGGCAATACAAGGAGCGACCACACCGCAGGTAAGAAACGGCCGTTACCACGACACTGCTCCGTCTGTACGTTAAAAACACCGGCAGCTATTTACCGCCACTGCTCCTCCGTGAAGATTAAGAAGCGTTGGGTCTGAAAGCTGCGGGTGTGTTCAGTCGCCGTCGAGCTAACCGTGTTACCGTTAGCCGCAGGGCGGGGGCCGGGCTCCGGGCTCCGGGCTCCGGGCTCCGGGCTCCGACGGTCAAACCTGCTTTTGTTAAGTGAGACGGACACAGACTGAACACATGGACTCTGTGATACAGAAACTAAAGCTGTGTCCATTAACAAACCCAGCAGGAAATTAATTAAAGTGCCTGCTGCTGTTTTTGTGGGTTTTTTTTTTACTGACGTGGAAATGTTGCTCTGGGTCGTTTTGTGTCTAGACGCACGTGTCTGGGACACAAGGTCCATCACACCACAGGACGTCATCACTCGTGTTGACTGTGTTGTTCTAGTGAAATATGTGTGAATATACAGGTTAGATGTCGCAGTAAGAAATGTGTTCAGTCCCTCTCTGACACATCCTCCCAGCAGTTTCCTGTCCCGTGCGTGTGTTAGCATGTTTCACTACAGTGGGAACTACAACCGAAACAGTGAGTTTGGGTTTTCACCGAACAGGCTTTAATGTTGTTGTGTAACTGAGCAGAGGGCGGAAGAATACACTGGACTGACCGATATCTCTTGTTGTTAATGCGATGTAACGTGGTTTTATTTGACTTTATTTCGTTTTTTATGTTTTATTTCTCTGGGTCAGACCAAAGACAACTTGTCCTGTCCCGGGCTGGACGATAAAGTCTATTCTGTTCTATTCTGTTCTATGTTATTCCATTCTATTCTATTCTATTCTATTCTATTCTGTTCTATTCTAAACCATGTGGTACGTGTTATGTTGATTATTTTAGTCCGTTTCTTTTTATCCTGTACATCCACTCACGTGTGGAAAGGAAAACAAACTGAACTGAAACGAAGCTTCACATGTTATAGATGACTGAAGTGTGTGATAAGGTTTATGTCTGAAGCTGGACCTCTCCCCTGATTGGTTCAGGGAAGCTCCACCCTCAGCAGTAGACCTGAGGGCGGAGCAGCTGCAGTGTGTGTTGTAGCAGAGTTGGTGACATCACACTGACCTTTGTGTCTCCAGGCGTCTCAACCCGTTGGACTCGGAGTTATTATGCAGCATGACCCCACGAGGACGTCGCCTGTGTTCCTTCTCTGTGAGAAGAGACCGTCCCTGACGTCCGCCGGCGAACCTCGTCCTCACAACTTTGTGGAAATGCTGCCGACGGAGATGAGCGTGAAGATCTTCAGCGAGCTGGACGCGGAGAGTCTGTGCAGCGCCGCATGCACCTGCAGACTGTGGCATGACATCATCGAGGAGAGCAATCAGCTGTGGAGGAAGCAGTGTCTGCTGGTCCGAGCCGTCTGTCAGAGGGAGGTCGACAGCGACCGGAGAGATGGGCTGTCCTGGAAGGTGGGTCGACTCAAAGACAAACAAACAAACACACAAACAAACAGAGGGAGGAAAGAGAAGTGTAACCTGCTCAGTTTGTGCTGAGCTGCTGTCTTTCTCTCCGGCGACCTTTGTCCTCCCTGACCTGATCTGTCCGACTGTTTATAAAACATGAAGTATAGAATTATTATCCAATAACAGCAATGACAGTCATTCCAACTTATTATCACGACTTTTACACTTTCCTTTGGAATTTTATGGTCAATAAACCTCATTTACATAAAAACAGACCTGGTTTGACAGTTACAGTCCGAGGAACATGAGTGGATTATCACAGACAGGTATTTGTCAAAGTTCATATTGTTTTGAAACCATTTCAACCCTTCGCCCCATTGTAGAGGAGTGAAGATCACAGATTCTCTAAATCTGAATAAAACACCCAGAATTCAATGAAAATAGTGATGAATAATTACATTAGTAAAAAGTGTAGTGAGGAACCATCTGTGTTACTTTCAGACAGTTACAAGAAAGAAAAACAGATTTCTGATATGAAAACATTAAAGACCAGGACAACAGGAGCGTTAACGAGGAAAACAACCACAGCTCAGATTCTCAGTGACAACACACTGATGAAGCAGCACGACAAACATCTGACGTTAGATTTGACTAAATCAAAAAAGTAAAGAAAAAGTTTCAGTGTCAGTATCAGTGGTTCCCCCCAGGTGGGCCGCCAAGGTATTGGAAGTGGGCCGGAAAGATTTAACTATACAAAAATAAATGAAAATATAAATACGATTTTTAAATGTTTTAAAACAAAAAGATTTCTAAAAACCTTTAAAATGTGTAAAGGCCGATCACTGATCATCACTGATGGTTAAATGAAATGAGAAGGAAAGAGTCGGATGGAGAATGAACGAGTGATCTCAGACAGAGAGAAACGTCCGTCAGTTCAGACCTGGATGTTTCATCGTTACCATTCAAATAAAAAGTGTTCAGAAGCATCATTTGTCCTCCGTACTGTCACAGTTTTGAGGTTTTGAACCGCTGGTTTTATATAATTACATCTTTTCATCGAACTTGTTCTGTTTTGCAAATGATGTGATACCTTGGCGTCCCAGCAGTGGGCCCCGCCCCACAGGTTGGGAACCGCTGCTCTTCGACCTTGACGTGATGAACAGAAAACATCAGTGTGAATCTCTTCACTGAGGGAGGTGGGGGCTCTGCTCCAGGCGCCCCCCCCCCCCCCCCATCCTCTGACCTGACCTCTGACCTCCTGCTGTCTCCTCTGTGCAGGTGACATTAGTGAGGAACTACACTCGCAGCTGTCTGAAGAGCGATTGGCTGAGAGGACGGTACAGCCACGTGAGGTCAGCGGAGGAGCTGAGCGGCAGGAGGATGACGCCGCTGGACGCCGAGACGTGGGGAGAGATCCTGCAGGCCGAGCTGGACAGATGACGGACGCCACCGTTGAGGATTTTATTTAACGCACCTCGAGCACTTCAGAGTGTCTGATTTTTAACGCTAATGTATATTTTATACTCTGTGTTTTATGAGAGGAAACAAACTGTACATATCATTTTTTACTTTTTTAAGAAAAAAGAATCATGGAGGATGAAAATGATCTAGAAACATTATTGGCTGGAATTGATTCTTACTGAAAAGCTGTTTGATGTAAATATGGCTGAGATGCAATAAATCACATGTTTGTGAAGCTCATGATCTAGTTTTTATTGACACAGTGTCAGAGACGAGTGAAGTCAACTTCACATTGTTCTTCTTCCGCCCGGCGACAGTCAGAGCCGCCACTTTGTTTTCAGGTTGTCCATATGTTCGTTTCATTCTCGTGGACACGATGTCTCAGATCTTCAAATCTGGCACAAACATTCACCTGGACTCAAGGAGGAACTGATTACATTTTGGTGGCCAAAGGTCAAAGGTCCTCAGAAAAAAGGGACCTCAGAAAACACTTAGCCATTACTCAAGACTTCACACAACGATTGGTTCAACAAGTTGGTGCGACAAATGGTTCATATTTTCTGTGACTCTGGATAAACAGGATGTGACCTGCAGCTGGTCTGAGTGGAGGAGGAGGTGTTTGCTGATGGTGGAGTGTATCACACAGGAAGTTGTTTCTCTTATTGTGTCCGTCCAGGTAGAGTGAGATTTCACAACCACCAGTCTCTTTACTTTAGAAGAAGCTCCACATATATATTTGTTGGCAAAGATAAACACACTTCAAAAGTAGAAATTCTTCCTCTGGAGGGGAGGAGTTTATTGAAGAATAAGTTGAAGAAAGGAGCGCAGCAGTACTCATCACGTACATTTACTTTGACATTACTTCAGTAAATGTACTTCATGCATCACAGAGCTGCAGCTAATGATTGTTTTTATCTCCTGTTATTTCTGCACTCATCTTCTCAAGTAATGAATGAACAAGAAAAAAGTGGGAAACAGTTTCCAGAAACAACAAAAATATAATTCACTGTAACATGAAAGAAAAACGAGGAGGAGGAGCATCACTTGTAAAATGAATAAATTAGTGAAGTGATGAATTTAATTGAAATAACAAATTTACTGTCAATCAACTTAATAATTGACTAAACGATATAAAATACAATATAAATATTAACAGAGAGAAAATGAATCAGTTGAGGTATGAAAAGGTAAAATCAATATGATTGAGTTATGGATTATTGCTTTGACCAAAGAAGCTGAAATAGGCCTTGGAAAATTTTCATAACAATCGATAAATCGAAAGAATAACAGGATTGATCCATTATGAAAACAATCCGCTTTTATTTTGAAAGATGTAACCGGAAGCCGTGTTCCGTCTAACTTGACACTGGTCCCTCCTCAGCATCACCGCATCATCCGCTTCCCCCTCCCTCGACACGGGACCAGACAGCGACCCCATACACCACAAGAAACCCGGGACAATGGACGACGTTCCCCCGATCATCAACATCTCCATCTCCCTGCGGATCCAGCCCAACGAGGGACCCGTGTTCTTCAAGGTGGACGGGACCCGGTTCGGCCAGAGCCGGACCATCAAGCTGCTCACAGGCTCCAAATACAAGATCGAGGTGGTGGTGAAGCCTGGGACCGTCGAGGCCACGTAAGAAGGAATCCGATTTAAATCAGTATATCTCTGGTTCTCTCCGTGATCACGTGTTTATATGACATGAAATGAAATATGAAATAAAATGAAATAAAAAGGTTAAAGGGTCACGGTTAGATCAGCTTCTATAATTAGAGATAAAAACGTTTATGAATAGAAAATAAGCAGGAACAGTGATGCAGGCCTCCTCTTCCTGCTCCTGCTGATCTCCGCTTGAATAAATCATGTGTGGATCATGTGTGGAGGCTCCTCTGTGACAGGAGGTGCTCATGTTCATGATGCCCAGTCTCATGGATCAGTTACAGTGACGTCACTGAGGCTCAGGTCCAGCAGGGCGGGGTCCAGCTGATCCGACAGGTTCTGTCAGGGCCGGTCCAAGTCCGCAGGAGGAGCCAAGCAGCAGCTCAGCTACAGGCTGGTACTGACTGCTGTCAATGCTCCACGTCCCACATGGACTCAGAGCCTCTCTTCTGATTGGCTGACTGTTTTCTGAGCGATCCAATAAAAACACACTCAGAGAAACTAAATCGTGCGATGGTTGGATGCTGGGTCCAGATGGGCGGGGCTTCCACCAGCAATGTGCGGCTGATGATGTTGGGTTACGTTTTGGTGCAAATGTCGAGTCAGGTCCAGTGTTTTTATTTGATTACCTGCTTACTTGCTTTTTTTTTTTTGCCTGAGCAGTGTTTTATTTTGAAAACTCTGAGGTTGTGTTTTATTTTGAAAGCTCCAGGGGGAGGTTTGTGTTTTATTTGGGATACCCCAGGGTTGTGTTTTTTTTTTGGAAACTCTGGAGTTGTGTTTTATTTTGAAAACTCTGGGGTTGGGTTGTAGTCTGGATAGAAAGTGAGACCTTTGTAAACGATGAGGTCACAGCCACGGTCTATCCTGATTGGATCTCATCAGCGACGACTACAAGTGGTGAATACAACATGATGATGAATGACAGTGTTACTGACCTTGCTGTCTTTGCTATCAGCTGTTGTTCACTTACATTCTCTCTTTTAATACAATATACTTCCTGTTTACACCGGCTCGCACATGCTCAGTGTAGGTGGTCATGTGATGTGTGTTTTTAGGTGTGTTAGTCTGTCATCACCTGTAGCTTACTTGAAAAGGTAGTTGCATTACTTTACATTAGTGCAGCTGCTAACGTCCATCATGGTCATCAGGAGGCGTGTCCTGTCCTGTCCTCAGAGAGCGTCACACGTGTTCTTCCTCCTTTTCCTCTTCGTCACAGCAACATGAACATCGGAGGCATCATCTTCCCTCTGGAGCAGCAGTCCAGAGACGATGACTCGGTGGTTTATCACGGCCAGTACGACACTGAGGGCGTCCCGCACACCAAGAGCGGAGACCGGCAGCCTGTCCAAGTCAGTATGGAGGTGAGACAGTCACAACAGCAAGTCACCGTCAGGAGATCTCAGGTAGAGCGCTGACTCAGTGTTCACAGCGACAGTCAGAGCGGCAGCCATTTTGTTTTCAGGTTGTCAGTACGTAGGTCTCATTCTTGTGGACACGATATCTCAGTAATATCTAGACAGAAACTCTTCAAATTTGGCACAAACATTCATTAGGACTCAAGGATGAACTGATTAGATTTTGGTGACAAAGGTCAAAGGTCAAAGGTCACAGTGACCTCACAAAACACGGTTTTCGCCTTGTGAACAAAATATCTCTGTAATGCCTCGAGGGAACTCCTTCAAATTTGGTAAAAGCGTTGACTTGAACTTGAACTCAGAAAAACTGGTTAAATTTTGGTGGCTAAAGGTCAAAGGTCAAATCTCACGGTGACCTCACAAAACATGATTTTGGCCTTGTGAACTCAATATCTTGAGAACTCCTCAAGGGAATCCCTTCAGATTTTGCATGAATGTTCACTTTGCCTCAAACATGAACCGATTAGACTTTGGTGGTCAAAGGTCAAGGGTCAAGGTCACGGTTAACTCATAAAACACTTCACAGCATTTATGACAAAGTTTGACACAATGGTTGATATGTGACTCTGGATGAACAGGGATGTACTGGAACTAGTCTGAGTGGAGGAGGAAGTGACTTCAGTTCATGCATCAGATCAAAGACCAGAGTCGTTGTTTTTGCTGCAGTGTGTTTGACGCAGTTTCTCTTTCCTGTCCAGTTCAACAAGGCGGGGACGTTCGAGACGGTCTGGCAGGCGAAATACTACAACTACTACAAGAGGGAGCACTGCCAGTTCGGCAACAAGTTCAGCAGCATCGAGTACGAATGCAAGCCCAACGAGACGCGGACCCTCATGTGGATCAACAAGGAGGCGTTCAACTGAGTCAGATCATCGTAGCACTGTCCACACACCCAACACCAAGCAGAGGACATCCGTCGTACCAGGACTACCTTTGAACATCAGCATCACAACAGAAAGACAACCTTTTCCTGAAGGCGTGCGTCAAGTCAGCGAGGGTCTGGTCTTTGTATTGTTTTATCAGAGAGGGAGAGAAAATAGCTGTTTGCTATGCTGGTCTTTAAAGGGTTTTTGCTTTAGAGCTGCACTCGGCAACGTTGCTTTTTGGCAGCTTCACATGCCAGCAAGAAGGGAACAGTTTGAAATGTGTAGGTTAACGCACACAGCAGGTTTATGTCTGGTACAAGTTGTTTAAAGGGACATGCGGTTTTCTCCAGAGGGAGTTTTGCTTTCATGTTTCAATCTGTCACTTCCTACATTGGTTGAACCCCTCCATGATCAAACATCTCGAGTTTAGTGATATTTTATGATTTTGCTGGTACGAGAGCAAAGAGAAGCTCCACATGAAAAGTTGCGGAGCGTAGCTTCAAAGCAGGGGTGGACAGGGCTGAAGGAACAATCAGACACTCGTTAGACATCTTCCTTAAAACATTCATATAAATTCAAAGTCCATGCGTCCAGCGCAGAGACAGGTCGAGGATGTGTTTAGCTAAGCTTAGCTCAAAGACTCGAATCAGGGGGAAACGGCGTGCAACAAAGTGCAGGACAAATCAGCAATCTAGGAAGCTTGGAACTACGACGTAATGAAAACCATCAAAAACAGTTTCAGCAGAGCGAGTTACAAAACCCCAGAAACTCAGATACACTGTTAAAAATGACACAGGTGCATTTGTGATCTCGTTTTCTGCCTTCCTATGATAACTTTATTTATATATGGCCTTTTAAAAACAGAGTTCACATAGTGCTTTGACAAATGAATCAAAAGGAGAGGTAGAGTTACAGAGGGAGGAGAAACCATATGCTTCAGTATAAATAAGGACAATTAGAGGGAGCAGCTGTCGTATGGAAACACACACACACACACACACACACACACACATTAAAAGCAATGAAAGGGCGACATGGAGACAATAAGAAGACAACATCAAATAAAAGCAGGTCTATAAAAATGAGTTGTAAGAAGTGATTTAAAAGAAGTGACTGATTCTGCCTCATCTCGTTGGGCAGGTCGTTCATAAGTCGAGCGACTCTGATGGCAAAAGCACAGCCACCTACGGCATAACCTATGACCTTTAATGGTGTAATGTTTGTTGGGGGAGAAACCAACGTTTAAATCCAGTATTTCCAGCACAGCGGACTTGACACACATCCAAAGAAGAAAAGCAGAAGAGCTTCAGCTTTTAGAGAACGTGACATGACGAATCACAGCGTTGAGGTTACAAACGGAGCTAAGGGAAGCGGTTAGCCTGGGCTAGCTTCAGAGCTGCCTCATTTTGTTGCATCTTGTTAGCAAACAAGCTAGTCATAAAACCATCCAAGAGTCCGTGGGGTTTAGCAAACTGAAGAGTAAAAACAGAGCTCACACCTGGCTCCCCCACTGAGTTCAGACATGGCGTCAACAGATAGCTCCAACGCTAACTGCTGTTAAAACCACAATGTCACCTTCTTATTTCTATTTCAGCTGCAGCGTGGAAATCAGACAGAACTGAAGATTTCTGGAAAGTGTATTTGTTAATTTTTGACATAGCTAGGCTAACAGTTTCCCCCTGTTTCCAGTCTTTGTGCTAATGCTAGGCTAACCACTAGACCTATCTTGGTTCTTGACGCACAAAATTGAAATTCATGCTAATCTTTTAAAATCACTCTGAGAAGAAAATGGATTAGTGTTATCCCTGAAATCCAGATCCAACTGTTCCTTTAGTGCAAAAGAATTCTGAGCAACATCCTTCAAATACTAAATTTATTGCAGCACAAGGCAGGAGGGACTAAACGCAGCAGCTAGCATGGTGCTAGCTGAAGACCAGGATGGAAGACACCTGTGGATGGAAGAAGGATTTTACCTTATTTATTTACTGCGTGGAAGTGTGTGTGAGAGAGAGAGAAGATGTATGAGAGTGTGAACATCAGCGTGTTAGTTTGAACTTTTCCTGTGTTATTGTTAGTTAATGGAAAAATCCACCTAAACCGTGAAGTTGTTCCTCCATTCAGTTCGTTGGTCCATGTGTCTTGGATCTCAGATGCTGTGACTTCATGTTCAGATGTTTCAGAAAATATAAGTAGAATATGTTGGGTTCAGTGAGCCCTTCACAATAAAAGCACATTCTCAAGCTGCGATGCTGAAACTGACCCTCAACAACTGCACAGGTAAAAATCTGTGATAAAGAGGAAATACAGAAACATAAATGTAGGAAATGAAGAAAAAACAGGTTTGGTATAAAAGTAAATTTCTTTATGAACCAAACATTATGAGATTAAACTGTGCCAGAGGATGATGGTGGATTTTTTCTTTAAATGATAAACCTGCTGTTATTCTATATTTTTCTTCTTGTCAAAAAAACAACAACCCATGTTTGATCCAAACCAGCTGAGTGTTCGTCCATCTCTCAGCTCCAGGTCCACTGGTTCCTACTGGGGACTGAAATCTTTAAAAGCTCCTCACAAACATATTTCATTTTAAAAAAGGTTCAGTAATTTACTGAAACAGCTGCTCACAGTAGTTTTTAATCAAACAGGAGGAAGGGACTATTTCCAGCAGCGGATTAATCCACATTTGGTGCTGTCGTGAGTGTTTGTGGCAGTCAGAGGAGTCAGATACATCACACTTCACCTGTTGGCAGGTGACGTTCAGTGTCGGTTTGAGTCTTTCATGCGTTTTCCTGACAGGAAGTACAATATAAAACATGATTTCAGACGGTCTGTCTCTGTTGGACTCAGACGCTGGAGCTTCTCACAGGTGTGTTTGTGTTTTCTTTCAGTGCACGCTGGATTCATTTTGCCAAATATGATTTGTTCTGTTATCTCAGTGCTTGGAACCTTGATGTTCTGTTACGTGTTGAACTGAGGGAGTTTAAAGTGTCTGTGGAATAAACCTGTAGACAGAACCAACGGTAACAATTGCAGTTATTAAAAACTTGAATATTTCAATTCTGCAGTGGTGGAGGACGTGTTCAGAGAAGTATGTATCAACAGCAAAATGTACTGTCAAAGGTAAAAGTACACAGTGCAGATAAATGAGCCCTGTGAGTGTTATATTATAAATGATATGACAGATTCATCACAGCTGTAAACCTTTTACTGTTGTAATTGATGAAGGTCATTTTTAATTATTCTATACACCGTTTGGTAGTTTAATCTACAACAGTTCGTCATATATTATAAGATCAGCATGTTTTTCATGTTAGAAATAGAAACAACAGCTGAAAAATAAATGTAATAGAGTAAAAATCACAATATTTCCCTCTGAATTGTAGAAGTACAGTGAGCAGTAGAAGTATGAAATTGCATGAAAAGTAAATACTCAAGTACAGTACACTGTAAAAAAAAAAAAAAACTGTCAAATGACTGGCAGCAGCAGCAGCCAAACAAAAACCGTAAAATTAAAGTAAAATTTAATTCAAATAAAGTGTAAAAACAATAAATTTACAGAAAGTTTCATTAATATTTCTACAGAGAAAACTGTTATTTTACAGATTTCTCCTAAATTATTATGATCAAACTCCTTCAATAAAGTGACGTCACAAAAGTTTCTGCAGAGAAACTTTTTCCAAATAATAAAATTAAGAGTCAATCAATGAAATATTAACACAAGCTTAATATTGTAAAGTAAACCTTTTGTTTTGGAAGACAAAGTAAAAAATACTGTGTAAAACAGATTAACATCATCTCAAACTTCAACTTGCAGTATTTGTGTCAACATTGAATCTTTAAGTGTAAAGTAATGTTAAAAACCTGTAGAAGCTCAATCTAAATACAATATTTACTGATTCAGATTCAGATCAATTTTCTTACATTTCACATAAAATATAAAACTGAAGAAATGCAAATTAAATTGTTAATCTCTGTATGTAGTCTTTCAACTAAAGTGGGTTGGAAACTTAATTACAAATAACATACGCACCACTATTGACTTATATAACACTTTTATTTAATATATTCAGATGTAAATTTACAATATCAACCGATTATTCACAAATAGTTCTTCAGAGCCCCGGGATGATCTGAAGAACTAAAACTGGCATTTCTCCATTGGTCTATCTTGCCTGTTAAGGTTCCTAATAAGAGGAGGTGATGATGTCACTTGAAAGAGGCGGGGGCTGTGGAGCTGAGGGGGGTGGTCTGTTGTTTTTTAGCTTGTATCTTCCAATTCAGTTTTATCTTGTTTTCCACAGTATTCTCCATATAGTCCTGACAACATATGTGGACAAAACATTATACTATCTTTATGTCAGAATCCCAATATAAGTGTATTAATAAGTCAAATCTAAACATACCACAAAGGTCAATGAATCTTTTACCAGAAGTGACGGTGCAACGGAGCAGATGAAGAAACATCCACCTTCAAAACTGCCAGTAATCAGCTGGATCCTTCATCTGGGGAGAAAGAAATAACAGGAGACACTAAGATTCACTGTAAAGTCCTTAAAAATATGATTTAAATTATTTTTGTTTAACATTACTTTAATAAAGCTTAAACAAATGTTGTTTAAATGATCTGTACAACAAAGAATGCTCTGACCTTCTGTGGCTGCTTTCTAATGTTCCACCGGACTAAACATCAAACACCTGAAGCTCATCTTCACAACTCTGCTTGTGTTAAACAGACACGCTGTGCACCCACTATGTAGGAGCATACTGACAATGTGCCCTGAAGATAATGGAGAAATATTGTTCCATTTACTGAAGACCAGGTTTCTGTTGTCAATTTAAACATCTGGCTATTTAAACAAAGTGGTGACTGGATGGAAAAATGACAACTGCATCAGTCTGAAACTAGCAAAGACACTTGAGTTGCCGCTTTACACCAGGTGAAAGAGTCTCATACACTCCCTAGTCAGCTGCTTGGAAAAAATGAAGCAGTAGACGACATGAAACTTCATTCAGCTGAACAGGAGAAAACAGAGACCGCTGATCTGTGAACACCTGGAGTCTAGACCAGTGAAAACAAGTCAACAGATCGATGGTGTAACTTCATGACTCACATCACATGGTCTTCAGCTGACCAAAGGTTTAACAGTAAAACTCAACTCTATCACTCAGTCAGTTAGTCAGTCAGTCAGTCAGTCAGTTAGCGTCAGTACAGTTGGACACACCAAAAAATATTCCATATATAAATATAAATATAAAACTTCCATGCTGTTGAGATCAGTAACTGCACACCACACTTCTCAGGGAGGGTTCTAGTACAGTGACGGCCATCTACCCTGCACACATCAATGTTCACATTCACTTCAGATCAAACCAGAGATATTTAACACCAGTGAGTAAATCAATCAGTTTATATCAGGTGTAAATATGTGTGTTTGGAAGAGTGCTACCTGCAAGGCTGAAGGAAGACCTGAGGTTGTTGCTACTAAAAACCTAACTAACCGGAGCTACAAACAAAATAGCATGTTAGCTATTACTCACTAATCCCTGAGTCGTCATCTGGAACATGGTGAACAATGAGGAACTGGGTGATGCCCGGCGATGGGAACCATGAGTGGTAGGCTGGAGACAACAGTCCAGACCAAGCGATAGCTGCGCGGGAGACTTCTGCTCCTCAATGTGTTTCCTGGTCCTCTCTGTCTAAGTGTACAAGTGTGTACAAGACAGTTTTCACTTTACTCATTCTCTTCACTCATTTACCTCTCATCAGTCCGTTTAAGCTTTAAACCAGCTGACAACATTAACACAAACTAGCAACACACAGTAAAATTAGCTGCTTCTACATTGAATTAAATGCTGTTATGGCTAGCGCGCTAATCGCGGTTAGCTTTTCACTTTAACACGTTAATGACGCAGAATAAACATACATACTTAATGACATTTGTTTGTTCCATCCGACCT